TGTATTCCTTTTGCAATCCTTTTGTATTCGTTTACACTCGTTTATATATCAGTTCATATTCGATTTAATTCGGTTGTACTCCTTTTATAATCATTTCGCATTCGTTTGCATTCCTTTTGTGTATCCGTGCGCGTGTGCGTCACCTACAAAATGCTAATACGATTGAAATAAATGATAATTGGTAGGAATAATGTTTGGGGTATACAGAGGATGAGTTCTCTACAATCTGAATCCATAATTTCCTGTTGGCCAGCCGTCGCGTCGGAACGCATGCACGTGAATTATCGCGCAACAGAATTACTCGATTTCTGTTAACGACCGTCAAATGTCTACCAATGACTGCTTAACACGGTTCGATTGTTGACATCGAATCGTGTATAGATATAAAATTTTCTCGAGTTGCCTCAAATTCTAGGCAGCTCTTTAACACGATGGCTGCCGGACTAAACTTCGTGAAAATTTCTACCAAGTTAACATTTCGTCTCGTGACTGTTGAAGAGTAGATAATTTCGCATTTTTCGTAGTATGTAATATTATAAACTATTTAATTCACAAATCCTATTCAAATTTATTTCCATCGTCGTCTCACTGTTGGAATGAATCCATTTAGTTCCTTAATGAACATACATACCAAAAAAGAAAGTATACATGTCGAATCGAGTAACCTCCTCCTTTTCGAAATCGGTTAAAAAGTCCTGTCACCCATTTCTGGTTGACTCGGTGACCAACGTGTTACACGCTCCCAATTTTCTTGCTCTCTATCTAAATAAACCGAAGTTTAATGTTCGACAAGTAATTTTTCCATCGTTGAAAAGTCCATTGCCAACATCCTCGTGCCGAGTTCGAATATAAAAGATTCTACCATACGTGTACTCTTGAAAGGGGATCCCACAATTTAAGGTCAACGTAGGCAGTTCAGAAGGTTAGAACAAAGGCAGAACGAAGCTGCTATATTTCCCCTAATATTCCCAACAGAAAGAACATAAAGAGTTCACACGGATGGAAATAGTCTGGTTTATTGGACAGACAATCTCCTTTATGCTTTCGCGAATGGACTAATAATCCATCCACGCGACTCCCCAGTCAACTGCCACACGGTTCCTATGAAACATCGCGAAGAAGTAAAGGCTGGCCCCCAGAATCCTCTGGGAAATCGCCCGGAACGAATAACGCACCAGCAGGAAGAGGCCACGTTTGCGTTGTTTGTTCTACGCAGCGTGGTCTACCGACTGCTTATTTGCCGCAGCGACGTTTTTTTTTTTTTTTTTTATAAGGGAAATCAGCCATCTTTTCGTTTCCGTTATTTGTCCTGTGTTTCCTGGGAAATTGGACCTACGGCTACTAACGTTCCCAGACCTCTGCGTGTTGGGTGTCCTACGACGCCGATTGCTTCGATAACGTAGCAATTCGTGCGACGTATGAACACAGACGTTGGAGTATTAGGTTGTCTCAAATGTTACTTTGCTTCAATATTTTATGTTTACTGTTACATCAGTGATTTTGTATACGATCCATTTTACTCTGTCACTG